CTGTAGGTTCAGTGAGGACATGTAAGGATCATGATACTCAACGATTTTTATGAACAGTACTTTATACAGTATATATATATATATATAGTACCTTATAAGCAGCTATATACATCCTACATCCTTATTGCAGGTCTATGTTTGTACGTGGTATGCTGTATCGGTGGTTGCTTATGTCATTTACATTGGAGAGAAACGTCGGGACGGCTGTGGCATGATGTGCTTGACGGCTGATTCATCGGATCTAGCACGGCAGATTTGAACTTGCCACCAGTCCAGGGAAGGAAATCATACGATTCCCAAAGCTTATTTGGCTATTAGTCAAGGCCCTGGTACCCTATCCCATAGGATCCATGGTGCTGCTATATATATGGTAACATGGATCCCATCAATATACCCCAACTGTTAGCATATATACCAGCACCATGGATCGGATGGGTATGTAGAATAGATGGTTAGTGGATGTTTATTCCCCCTTTTTTTGTAATAGGCTTTGACCCATACCACATATTTTTCCCAAGAATCTCGTCAGAGATTGCCTTTCCTCACATTTTCTGATCAAATTGAAATCCTTTGATCCCTACCTTTGTGGGGAAAAATCACTGATTCTGAGGTCCATCACGTCCATCATGTCCCAATATGTCCCAATGGTCAACTTATGATTCTCATCGAAAGAACATCATGTCATTGACAGGTTCCGTCCACCTTGTGTGGCCAATCCCTATTTTTAGTTGGTTCAAATCCGAAAGTCTTGTGTTTGTTGAAACAAATCTTCCAATATCCCCAACATTGTAGGTTGAATATGTGCCACGACACAAATACAAATGAAAGTCCAGTATATGGAAAACAAACTTATGGAGATGGAAAAGCAAAGAATGGACATGTCAATGAAGGAAGATAACCAAGAGGACAACACATGCTTTGAACGTTAACCGTGTTCCTTCAGGAACATGTGTAAAAAGCCTACCACCTGATATAAGACAGAAGACCAGAACGACGACGGAATGGACGAAACAGACATGGGGACACAGAACTGGTAGCGGTCAGCATCAAGTCTGGAGAGGGAACGCCAAACAGAGAAGCTGAAAGAGACACCAAAAATACTTAGAGAAAAAACACCTACATACGGCAAGAGGAGATGGGCTACTTCGATTTTTTTTGCGATTGATGAGTTAAAGGATGTTAAAGGAAATTGAAAGAATAGGTTTTGACGGTTTAAATGCTGAACATGTAGTCGTCACTGCCGACTTTGGAAGTGATAGTGATGATGACTACTGGAAAAACAAACACCTAGAAAAAGAAGATGAACAGCTAAGACAATGTCGAAACAGAACATATCTGCCTTCACCAAATGATAATGAAATTTCGGCAAACATTTTTTGAACTACTACACCCACAAAGCGATGGAAGACTGAGAAGATACATTGGTATGCAAGACTTAACATTGTCACAGCGATGTACAACAACATACTTGATCATATACATCGTTGAACTTGGTAGAGAACTGAATGAATACAGACAATGCCACGGAATGACAGCAAACCGTGTTTTTTTAATTTATCAATGGCAATGGATGATGAACTTTAATTAGACAAATAAACGCTGCCTATCACACACCCGTTTTATTGAAGAGTGGTTGGATCAAATAGGAGACTGGAGAGCATAAGAATGATTACTTTATATTACTTTATTGTATTTTGATCATTAGTATTATGAAGCAATCACTACTCCTGATAATCTTACTGTAAAAGAAAACACATCTGTTTTACCAATAGAGGTATGGCTGAAACATGGCAATCTTCCAAGTGTAAAGTCTTTGGACCATTAACACAGATTGAAGACAAGAACTGTAATGTGTGTCTTGAACAAAGGCGTCGCTGTAGAACCAAACCAAAAAATAATCCCCAAAGATGAGGAATACTATTCAATCCACGAAGAAGAACTGAATGCGATGCAAAATGTACAAGCATCATTTCCTGTCTTTAAGTGTATGGTTAGGTCAAATGCTATGAGCAGACATCAGCAATCAATGAAACATCAACTGAACCAATAACCACAGCAACAACAATTGTCCATAGTTTTTCCATAATTTACCCAATCCAAACAGAACTTTCCAATTGGGGCCCTTTTCACCAAACTCTCCAGCCACAGCTCACCGCGGTGCTGTGCAGCCGCGTCGCGTGGTAGTTATTTTTCTCTCATCGGATGCCCCCAGGCCGTGCAGAGTCGAAAGGTGATGGCACTGCTGATGTGGGTAAAGAAGTTCAACATATGATGCATGAATTCGGATTAAGTAATAATTCCATAAATTTCTCATCGGTAATTATTGGATAGTATCGGACATTGTTGGTAAATTGGTGGTTACAATTGATTGTCATGGGCAATTATCAATTTACCACTTTACCAACTTACCAATGATTAATTATGAGTACCACCGGGAGACTGTTCAGGATTAGTCACTTATCTAAAATGAGACTTACAGTCAGATGATACATTCACTTCCTACTTCTTGGCATTTTCAACTACAAAAAAGTAGACTATGAACGAGAGAGTTCAAACCTATTTGACATTATTTGCTAAAATTAGTTACCCTGACTGTGAAACCAGTACAACAAAACATGACTAATCTAGTCGCGGGTTTGGTTACGTTCTTATAGGTTGATTCCACAATTACAATCTGTTGATATTTAGTTGGTAGTGGCTTAAGAAAGAGTGGCAAAGATACTAGCGGCTATCAATTTCAAGGTCCTTGTACTGTCAGTAATTGCTCAAAACAAACTTTGATCAACCTCGCTACATTGGATTCCATCTATGTTTACCACCATTTTCTATGAACTACTTCAGTGGGTTGTCCTCCAACTTTCAGCTAATAGTTAGTGTTTTTAAGTTACCGTCATATTGTCGGACCAAGATTGGAAGAACTGACGGTAACCTAGGGGTTGATATTAGCCATTATAGAATAATCTCTGGTTCGTGGTTTGGAACCATGGCATTTTATGACTTCCCATTCATATTTTGAATTTCATAATCCCAACTGACAAAGTCCATCATTTTTCAGAGGGGTCGGGCTCAACCACCAACCAGATCTCTTATGTTCATCAATCAGATATCACCATATTGGAACAAGCCATTCATGTCATCAACCTGGCTTGAGCCTCAAGGCGGTGCCCTAAAATGTGAAACATGTGTTGGTTTATAACCCTCATTATGCTTTATATAATGATAAAGTGACCCATATACAGTATGTATGACCACATATAAACCGCTAATAAGTGAATCCATTATATATATATATAGAGAGTATATTAGTGGTTTATTCAATATTATCCCATTACTGTCTAAATATATAGAATTATACAGTATATGTGGTTGACCCAATCTACATCATCGAACAATGGGTCAATGGCCATGCCCCCTGGGGCTTGGGAGAGGTGGATTCTTCCGCTGTGTGGCCAAAACGGTATGCCATAAATTTATTGGTCACCGATTTGTCATCGTATTTTTCAATTTGTCAAGCTGGTTGGTGGTTTGGAACATGTTGCATTTTTCTATATATTGGGAATGTCATCATCCCAACTGGCGAACTCATATTTTTCAGAGGGGTAGGCTCAACCACCAGAGGATATTTCATGACATTTTTCGGGACCCAGTTTGAGACAAACCTAATGATGTGCTCTTCGCGTTGCTGCCATAGAAGAAATATCAGCAATGCCATCACCACCGCACGGCCCATGTTTTTGCTGACGCGTTGGAAGAACACCCGAAGTGCGCCTCTTCCATACGAGACTTCAGTGCCCAACCTTTCACAGTGAGAGAATTCAAATGATGATCACGAAAGCGACCAAATATTTCAAGGTGTCCTAAGTCACGGAGGGTACCTCAAATCATCCAAGTCATGAGAAAAAAGAGTGTTTTAGTATATTTTAGTATTGAAACCCATGGTGACGACTGAGGATCACCCATGACTTACGAAACCCCTACATAGGTAGTGGATGGTAGTGGTAAATGTGATCAAGGTATCGTTGGTGTCAAAGTTGTTGGCTGGGCGACACGCCTGGGCATTTCTCATGCAGACTTCTGGTGCAAAACGGGGATTGTCTTGGGACCTCTTTTGGCCCGTAACTTCGGGCTATGTATAAAAGAGCTGGAAGGTTGGCACACTGAAGGCATTGCGCAGAAAACTTTTCTGGTTGTACCGTCAATACCAGTTGCGAAAAAGGAGCAGATCGTCGGCAGATGATCACCAGATTGTCAGCAGTTCAGGACAATCATTTCCTGGCCCGGTGGCTACGAAAAATAATTACCCTCTGGTAAACAAAACATAGCTATTGAACATTGCCATTTATAGTTGATTTACCTATTTAAAATGGTGATTTTCCATAGTTATGTTAGTTTACCAGAGGGTAAACTACGTTACCCATACTTTCCCGCTATCAGGTGTGCTCATTGCAGATGCTGGATTTTCATCCCACGAATTGGCTCAAACACGTGTAGTTGCCATGGATGGTATGGCTGCGCTACGAGAGGAGTTGCCATGGAAAGATCTGGAACAAGAAATTTCTGGGGGTCAAAATTCATATGTCTTGATCCATCCCCATACTTGCAAAGTATAACGGCAATTTCATTTCCAACGTGTCCCAACATATAAAAAAAAAGTGCCCAAGAAGTGCCCAAGAAATCACCGGTTAACCGTCGTTAACCCATATCTACTGAGATCTAATGACAGCAGCCACCATGTTCATGAAATGTGTTGTGGGGCGAATCTTTCCAGGTGCAGTGCCACAGTGCCACCTGCCATGTTTTCACCAAAAGTTGGGAGATACGCCTTACGATTGCAAGGTGGTGCCCCAGGTCGTTAGCTAACTGATTTATATCAATGTTAATAACTAATCTAGACTAGTCTAGCTAGGGTCCAAGGTGTATATATATATATATATACATAATTATATATATAATATAGAATTATATATATATACATATCGAACGACCAGCAGATATCACTGGAAGATCTGGACCAACATGTCAAGTGACGACAAGCCCACCCCTGTCCGCGTCTGTGGGGAAGCTCAGGTCCTAGTTTCACCATGTTTCACCCGCTCGCTAAATGGGATGATCATGGATGATCCTCCAGCTCTTTTGGGGGTTTTTGACTTTCACAGCCATGTTGCTAAACTTTTGTTTGCCCACAACAATGTTCAGAACAGACATAGTTCGACCGAGATTGATACCGCAACAAATCTGGGGGGTATGAAGATAATTGGCACGAAAACAACGGGTTGCTGCGTGGTTGCACGTACTCTTGAATTTGTTTGATGTTCGGTACCTCTGAAAGTGGGATTATGAGCCAGAGAGTGATAACCTGAGAGTATCAGTAATGTTGGATCCTGATTAATGTAGGGGGGACCCCCCAAATTTTGATTTCACTTTAAAGATCTTTAAAGTGTTTTTTTATTTAGGGACCAGGGATTGAATAAAATTGGATCAAGTGATTTCAATTGATTTCAATTGATTTTCAATTTGCTTTCAATTGATTTTCAATTTGCTTTCAATTGATTTCAATTTACTTTCAAATGGTTTCAATTGATTTCAATTTACTTTCAATTGATTTCCATTGAATTCAATTGACTTTTAAATGATTTCAATTTACGTTCAATTGATTTTCAATTGATTTAAATTTACTGTCAAATTAGATTCAATTGATTTAATTTACGTTCAATTAATGTTCAATTGATTTCAACTTACTTTCAATTGACATCCCATAGTAGTTAATCCCATAGACAAATCATAGAAATATCATGGAAATCCCATAGGAACCCCATATAAATCCCATAGAAAGATCATAGATATAAAATGGAAATAGCATGGGAACCACAAAGAAATCCCATCCGAATCCCATAAGAATCCCATAGAATTCCCATAAAAATCCTGCAGACATCCCACAGTACTCCCATAGAAATATCATAGAAACATCATGGAACTCCCATAGGAATGCCATAGGAATCCCATAGGAATCGCAAAGAAATCCCATAGGGAAATCATAGAAATTCCATAGAAATCACATAGGAATCCAATGGAAATCCTGTAAGAATACCACAGAATTCCCATAGCATCATTCAGAAATCCCATAGTAAACTCATCGAAATTAGAAATATCAAAGAAACATCATGGAAATCCCATAGGAATGCCATAGGAATCCCATAGAAATCCAATAGTAATACCATAGAATATCATAGAAATCCAAAAGAAATATCATGGAAACCCCAAAGAAATCCCATAGACATATCATAGAAATCTTATAGAAATCCCATAGAAATCCAATGGAAATCCCATAGACATCCTTTTGAACCCCCATAGGAATCCCATACAAATAGAATCGATATCCCTTTAGAAATCCCATAGTAATCCCATAGAAATATCATAGAAATACCATGAAAATCCCACAGGAATCCAATAGAAATCCCATAGAAATATCATAGAACCCTCATAGAAATTCCATGGAAACGGCATAGAATTCCCAAACAAATCCTCTAGAAATATCATAGAAATACTCGTACCATTAGAAATCCGTTTTAAATCCCATAGTAATCTCAGAGAAATATCATAGGAATCCAATAGACATATCATGGAAATCCCAAAGAAATACCATAGACATATCATAAAAATGCCAAAGAAACCCCATAGGAATCCAAAGGAAATCCCATAGACATCCTTTTGAAATCCCATAGGAATGCCATAGAACTACCATAGACACACCTTTAGAAACACCATAGAATATCATAGAAACGCCCTAGAAAATCCATAGAAGTTCCATAGAAACTTTAATGAAATCCCATAGAAACCATAGAAATCAACCAGAGGATGCCAGGAGAATTGAACTAAGTAAGAGACAAAAGCTATAGCAAAGGACAGGAGAGAAGGATTTTGGAAAACAACCACCTCAAGAATAAAGCTGGACACAATAGAGGACCCCCACAACAAACATACTATTGAAGATCAATGCTGCTCATGGGCTACCCCCTTGAACAATTGTTGAGGTGCTATTTTTTATTGGGTTTAAATAAGGCATTCTATCATTTGTTTTTTCGGATGTTCAAAAACATGTTGCAAGTATTCATTAAATAATTCATTAGTTAATTAGTTATTTTCAGTAAAATGAAAAACTCCAAAAGTGAACAAAAAATCAAAAAAATGCTGGACCAATATTGGCATCAGAAAAACAAGTTGTCATAGTACCGACCCACCCCAACACTTACACTGATTCAGAATTATTTTGGGAAAACTGGGAAAACTTGACACAATACAGAATCACCCCACTAATCGGGATACTACATTACTGTTCTTTACTTTGAACCTGAAGCGGTTTTGATCCATCTATTTTCTGACCTTCTTTGGGATGCGGATTGGGTATTGAGGACCACTCCAAAAAATCTAGGCTCACTATAGACCTACTTCCCAAAGATTGAAGTTCAGTGATGCCATTTAATTTGGTTTGGCATCAAATGATACATTTGTGGACAGGAACATGAGATGCTTCAGGAACCTTCATGCAGGAATTCTGTTGCGAAACAGTTTGATCAGTACTCTGAATGCATTTCTTTGTTTTTTGTTCTTCGCCATCGTTCGTACATGTACATACCCTGTCTACTTGGAAGCGAATCATGACTTCGCTGCAGGCGCATCCTTTCATGTGCGCAAGCCTGCGCTACCGGACTTTTGTGAGGTGGAGCAGACTTTGGACTCTTCGGATTGCAACAGGAAAGTTGGATGGGATGTATGTAACTCATTTTTCCAGGATCAGTATGTTGTTACTTGAATTTGCTTGATATATAACTACCAATAGTCATAGGCTATCGGGGTTATATCCGATCACAAATGGGCATTTATAACCATGGTTGTAGCAATTTGAACCCTCAACTGCACCCCCCGAAAGGCCGAAAGGTGTGGTCTCAAGAACAGTCAGGTGAAGCCCCAGCAATAGATGGTCACTGGATCACCCAAGAAATGTGGGATGGTTTCCCAAAAAGCCCGGTTTCATCGTGGATCATCACGATTGAATCTAGTTGAATCATATTGGTTCCCCATAAATTTGTTGGTGGTAAACTCACCATGTCTGGTTTTCGAAACAATCTTTTTTTCAAAAAAACTGGAGGGTCACCTCACTGGGGTGCTTGAATCCAGACGACCTCAACTCGTAGAGGCTGCTGGCCGCATAGCTATGCAAGCAGGCTGGGCCTTGGAGCTAGGAATATGGGACGTGTACAAAGCCAACTGGTTTTCATTTTACTATCATAGCAACCGATCTACTATAGTCAAAGGAAGCAAAGGAAGTCTCTATATACTTCCGTGTTACGGAGCTTTTGGAAGTCCCTGCAAAGATTGTGACTGCAATGAGTGGCACTGCAATGAATGAAGTTGCAGATTTTGAGGGAAGTCTCGCACAAAAGTTTGGTTTTTCATCACTGCAACTAAGCCGGGGAGGACGAGGCTTAGGTGGAGCTGGCGCAGCTTGGAACGCGATTCCGTTGCTCATCCAACCCCAGAATTAGTCATATCATTCACTTTCTGGCAGCAATCCCCTCCCACTAGCCATGTGTTGGTATCCCTGGTTATTGGAAGTTATTGAATGTCGTTGTTACTTGGGGTTTCTTTGGCCATGTAAAGCATGGGTTGGGAAGGGTCATGTGGCATGAAAACGTGCTTTAGTTTTGAGATTAGACTTGGGGCCAACTTTGGCTTCAGGCCTCCCCCGGATGAGGTGTCCAAGTGTTTGTTGACCGACCGATCAGGTGGTACGTGTTTTCAGTTTGTGATCGACCCAGTGTTACATGGTAGCACTGTCCCTTTCTCATCCTTTATCTATACCTATATAACATCTGGGAGGTTTGTACCTAAGACGCTTCATCGAAAATGCGAGAAACATATAATGTTTTCCGGAGAGAGAAGCAACAGGTCAAGGCCTATGATTCCAATATATTCCATCTGCATCTTACAAAAGGAACCAACAAAACAGAATACGGAGATAACATGAAATCACTGATTGGTGGTTTGGAACATGAATTTTATGACTTTCCATTCATATTGGGAATTTCTTAATCTCAACTGACGAACTCATGTTTTTCAGAGGGGTTGAAACCACCAATCAGATCATGTTTTTACATCGTGATTGTCAGGATTCGTATGGATTCGCAAGCCCATCGTTTTGATGTCCAGCTATGTCCAGCTCTGACTAGGGCACAACACCAAATGGTTGTGTTTGAACATGTGGCAAAAAGAACAAGTGCCCACCAAACAATAAGAGTTTGTCAAACCCAGCGGATGGAATTTCTTATCTTACCACTTTCAATCAAAGCTCAATCTCTAAAAAATGCTGGCCCCAAGTTAGTAAGTGGGTTGCCACCACAATTACACTGGTTGGTGGTTTGGAACATTTGTTATTTTCCCATATACTGGGAATAATCATCCCAACTGACTTTCGTATTTTTGAGAGGGGTAGGTCAACCACCAACCAGATTATTATTAACCATCAGGAACCATATATTAACCACATATTAACCATCAGTAACCATATATTAACCACATATTAACCATCATTAACAGTATATTAACCACATACTAACCACCATTTTACCATGTAAAACCACAACTTATTTGGTGAACCACCCCGCTCCAGGACTCGACGAGCAGTGCCACGCTTTTCACGTGCAGCGGGAGATCGGCCCGGGGCAGTGGGAGTGGGTGGAAGAGGGGGTGGAGCTGATGGATCATTTTTTTCAATGGATTGGTTTAAGGGAAAATCTGCAGGAAACCATGGTTTTTACCAAATATAGGTCTTAGTCTTTCCTGTAAAATTTCCCATCATCCAATTCTATGATTTTTATCTTAGACACTGGCTAGTAACTGGGCTTATAACATGTTAGTGAACCCACTTATAAATGGGATTGGGATAATTAATCCACTTATATCAATGGGAGATCTCCAGGATCCTAAAATGAAGGTACGTTAGTACCATATAAGGCCATATTTTGGGGGGTTATCCCCTTACATAGCCCTGAAATTTAGGCCTTAGATATGGTACAGTAGGTACCTCCATTTTAGGATCCTGAAATTCCCATTGAAAATATGAGATGTTTTTTGTTTAGTCAAACATCATGCAATGCAAACCGTAACACCATAGAACTCACCATAAAAATACAGTATATGTGACACTGTATATATTTCACTATTATTACAGTACTATTACGCGCAAACCCCCAGTTCGCCCACACAACTTCTTAGGGATTTTGAAGGAATATAAAGTCCGACCCCCGTTAACTTTACATTCAATTGGGAAGATCAACAAGGGCATTAGGGATATAAATTCCCACCCCCGTTGGACTTTACATTCAATTGGGAAGATCAACATGGGCATTAGGAATATAAATTCCCACCCCCGTTAAAATGTACATTCAATTGGGAAGATCAACAAGGGGATTAGGAATATAAATTCCCACCCCCGTTGAACTTTACATTCAATTGGGAAGATCAACAAGGGTATTAGGAATATAAATTCCCACTCCCGTTAAACTTTACATTCAATTGGGAAGATCAACAAGGGGATTAGGAATATAAATTCCCTCCCCTGTTGAACTTTACATTCAATTGGGAAGATCAACAAGGGCATTAAGATGATGCTGATGATGATGATGTTGATGATGTTGTTGTTGTCGTTGTAACATTCAACGCACAGGTAGCTAAGCTGTGCGTTGCAAGATGAAAGCCATGATCATGGACATGTGCATGTTGTCCCACAAAACACAGTGTTTTTTGATGTTCGGACATCTCGTCGGCGTCGGCGCGGGCAAACTGAGGGGTTTGCCCATATTATTACAGTATTATTACTATTATTATTATATATTGTTATTGTATATTGTTATTATATATTGTTATCCACTTGTTTTATTTGAATCGCAGTTTTTGTTCAATTTTGCAATTTGTATGGTATCAATCTTCGCTGGATGTGGAATGAACGAACCAACTTGGATGTAGAGAAAGGCATTCACCGGAATTTTGCAAATGAATGCACTGTCCATTGTTATGCTACGATACATGATACGGATGATACTGTTTGGGTATGTTTGTTGTGCATGTTTTTCAGGGATATTCGTGTCCTTTGTCGCCTTGAGCCCGGGCTCACCATATGGGTGTGTCAAGAAAAATGTACCCCAAAATTTGATGGTTAACGGGTGCTTCCATTTTCAGAGACACCCAAAGATCATTGTTTTGGTCATAGTTCCCATAATTATAATCCAAGTGTATCACCATGAATTGTGGTGGGTTATAAAATGTTGTAAATCCACATTTTCCCAACTTTAACACCATTACCACTGGCATATTACCACTGGTTACCACCCTGGCCCCCCCCTTGTGGATATCCATCGACCCAGGCTGGACGAGACAAATTTCAACCCAGGCGGTGTCAAAATGCTTGCGGTCAGGCTATGTTAGGAGCTGGGTGTGTCTGAAAATTTCGAGGACGGGTCCAAATTTCCACAGTTTATGACCATCTTCCCTTTTTCCTAGAGACAAGTCATACATATGTTTGTATGGTGGTTTGAATGCATGTGATCCTATTTCCAACGCACTGCAAACGGTTTGGGGTTTCAACCCAAGTGATAGATATGATATACATACATACAGCCTCTGGCAGTTTAACGTAGCTATGGAAAATCATTAAAAATCACATTTTTTCAAAGGATTTCAAAGGTAAATCATCATAAATCGTTCAAGAGTCGGCCTTTTAAAAAACAAACAGTACTGTAGTATTTTTGATTTATTTTTAAGTGGTGGTACATTAAAAGTAAACCTACTATTTGGAGATGGTTTGAACCCCTCATTTATGGTTATATCAGGATGAGTTATTTCTGGATTCAGCACATTCAATATGTATATATATATAATTATAATATATATATATAAATACATACAGAAGAGTACATCTCCGGAGATGGAATGTATACACATACACGACGCTCAGTCTTTGGTTTCCTCCCACTGTGATTAAGAGCTATATTGTTGCTGAAGTGCCTGAGCATAATGCTGATATCATGCTTGGTCAAAGCAGTTGATTCCCCCACTAAAGCCATTTCAAATGGCCAGATATGGGTATACATGAATCCCAGCCATTTAGCAGAGATAACACAGTGTACTGGTTGCCATGACCCATACACATATTGTACCATGCCCAGTTTTTTCCCATAAAAGGGCATAGTCAGCCCCCCCTGAATAGGGATTTTACATCATTGTGAGGAATCCCTTTTGGTGGGATGACCATAGCCCATTCATCCATATTCATCCCTTTGTTCGTTGATTATATGTCTCACATGAAATATTTATATATACACACACACGCATATATATATATGTATACAATATATGTATATATACTGTATATATATATACTGTGTATATATATATACTGTATATGTATATATATACACACACTGTCTATATACATATACATATATTTAAATACACATACAGATGAAATACATACATAATACATATATAATATAAATAAATATATATATATATATATCCGTCATATCCCTATTATTGTTGCTTAAACAGATCATTTTGTTTGAATATGGCACATATTAATGCACATATCATGTTCGTTTCGCGAGGCCCAGAGTCTCTTCATGCTTCTGCAGGCCTCGCAGGGCCTTGGGCTGGAAAATCCCCATGGAAAATAGGGGAAATTTAAGAAAATCATAGGAACATATAGGACATTCCCCATAAGAATCACCATGATTCTATGGAAATATAGGAAAATCATAGGAAAACCTCCATAAATGAAGGTTTTTCTGGCTGGTGGATTGTCCAGCAAGCCATGTTTGATTGCTGAAGGGTAAATATGGTTAGACACAGCGAGAATCTAAACCAACTTAACCAATTTAGAAGTCTCAAATCCCATTCCCGATCCTGTTAATTTTTCCCTAAGCGGCCCCAAATATGTGTTTTTCTCCTGTACATTCATCTACTAAACCATGGTTTATGGGAGGTGGTTCGCATGAGAGGGAAGGCAGCTAAGGCTATGCTTTATGGTAGGTCCATCTATAGTTAGAGAAATTAAACGAACCTAGAACGGGATTGTTCCCAGGTGCTTCAAGAATCACATTATCAGCAATAATTCTGTTCTTAGATCGTTCGACCCACGTTCAGATTATGACCTTCCACCTATGAAGTTCCTCAAGTGTCTCATATTTCAGTGTTTCAGCTTGACATGGATTTTCATATTCCAAACCACTATCTCATTTCAGGGAAAAAAAAGCTGTTGGCTGATCAGCCGCATCAATACCATGTACTGTTGGTAAAACAATGCCATAAATAATCCCCCAGTCACCATTTTTATAGGTGGTATGTTTACCATTCCCAGTCATGGCTGGTATATGGCATTGTTTCTTCTTTCCACATTACTTGGATGCATGTACCCTCTGGTAAACTAACATAACAATGGAAAATCAATTTTCATTGGGTAAGTCAACTATAAATGGCAATTTTCAATAACAAACTGCAAACGTTTACTGGAGGGTACTTGGATGAGCACACCCTGGTTGGCTTAGCAACTCATAGCCCTGATCACAAACGGTCGTCACCGATTGGTTCAAGGCTGGCATGGCATATGCAAAATGCCACTGATTGGTTCATCACATCTAAGACCGCACATCAACAATGATTCTGTACTGTAACAATGTATCAGTATAATATTATGTTGTATCATTTCATATCATATCATATCATGTGTATATATATATTTATATATATATTATGATAAATATATGTATGTGTATATCATATGATATATATATACATGATGTATGCACAAGATGAACCACCATAAACCCATTGTGAAACCCTAATTGAGGTTGAGGGGGAAACTCCAGGGTTGATCACCCCCCAGAAGAAATCCAGACATCGTCGTCCTGTCAAATCATGAGCACATCATGTCGCGACCCCATTTACTGATGTTATGTACTTCCTATGAATCTCGGAACCAACATGAATTTGGGTAAAACAAAAAAACAAAAACATCCAAATTAACGGTATCCATTCGGTTTGATGGTATATTTCCATGATGTTTGGCATCTTGATCTTTCTAGATCCCACAACGAAGCCACGTCAGGAATGGGACTCACCTGAGGCTTTAGAGCAGCATGTGAGGTCGGGGCCCAAAAAATGGAGTGATTGAATCATGTTTAGATCTGCTTAATAGATCTGTTTAACCATTAAAAAAAACATGATGTTTATATCTGACAAAATCTGAAAACATATCCATCTGAATGTGATAAATTACATCAATCATTATGATTGAATGTGATTGCATCATTTTGAGTGGCTAAAAGAGGCTTGGCCACGCAGATTCAAACGCTAGCCCCAAAAAGGGAAAGAGTAAAGCGTTGAGAGATTGCAGTTGATTTGAGTACACAAAAACTGTGGATATGCACTATCAAAACCTGGACACAGAATGTTGCCTTTGTGATTTAGGTTGCTCCCAATAGCCAAGGGGCGGAAATTGGTGATTTTATCATTTACCAAATTGTCCCCCCAAATGTATGGTGGGAGCAACCATGAAACCCCTGTGAAATCACCTATGGTCCGGCGGTTTTTGACATAACCGTATGGTTTCGTGCATCATGCATGTCAATTTTGATGCACTTTCAGAAAAATGGTAAAGTGGTAAAATCACCACGCAGGCCATTCAAAGTGAACTTGTAGTTTGAAGGCTGCAGTTCACCATCATTGCATTCCTTTTTTGGGGCTCTGAAAAACTACTTCAGTGGAGACATTGTAAGGTGTTTTCTTGGTCAGAGCGTAGCATCAACTACGTGCTAGAAGTGACTTGTGAAAGTTCAGAGTGTAGCATCAAGTACGTGCTAGAAGTGACTTGAGACAGTTCAGAGCGTAGCACCAAGTACATGCTACAAGTACTACGCGTGCCAAGGAACGTTACTGCCCCCCACCCCAACCCCCCCCACACGTCTAACATTGCAACATGTATGCGCGTGCCACAAGGAACGTTATTGCCCCCCAACGCCAACCTCCCCCTCCAAAACAAAAAAATGCGTTTCGTGAGGTCGAAACGCTCAAAATTTACAAAAAACCGCGCTCTCGCTGTGACGCTAGACACATGAAAACGCAAGGCAAAGAGAGTGTTTCGTCACGCGGCCTTCTACGCCCGCCCAGCCAACTACATACATAATATACATACATACTATATGACTGGGGCAAACCACCAGGTTTTTGCAGTATCATGGCTGTTCTTCATCCAAACCATGTTTTCAACTTCGGCAATGTCTCCCCTCTTTCCCCAGCGGAGCCCGCTGAGTTCTGCCAGTGGAAACGAACCATAGCAAAAGATGACACTTGTTACTAGCAAAGGTTGATCATGATTTCATATGATTTCATTTGCATTTATGATTCATCAACTGTTTGTTTGTTCTTGGTTACCTCCCCATATGTTGTTGGCTAGTTGTGGCTGTATTCGTATGTGTTTAATTGCTTACAAACTCTTGCAAAGCTATGTTTTGTAGCTGAATTCCTTATGTCCGCTGGCTTATTCCCCTTGTCTTTCTGGCGGATAACCCATTCTTGGACAGCCAACAACTGAAGCCTTCTCGGTATTGTTGAAGAAGTTTTGCATTGTTTCGCAGTTTTGAGAAGAATTTTGAGGACAGTTATTCCAGGTTTCAGAAGCACTTTGAGAATAGTGATCCCATGTTATTCATTGTTATTCCATGGTAATTATTCCAATATGTTACATATGTTGGTCTTGTTTGGTCTTCTTCGCTATTTGGAGACTTGGAGGATCAGTTTTTTTTTTAAAGACACTGGTTAGTAACTGGGCTTATAACATGTTAGTTATAACATGTTATAACCCACTTATAAATGGTATAACCCACTTATAAATGTTATAACCCACTTATAAATGTTATAACCCACTCATACATGTTACAACCCACTTATAAATGTTATAACCCACTTATAAATGTTATAACCCACTTATAAATGGTATAACCCACTTATAAATGGGATAATCCACTTATAAAATGTTTTAACCCACTTATAAATGGGATAGTCCACTTATAGGACTTACCAGCCACCAGGCTTAACCACAAAAACTACTGGACCATGCGATAATCCTTTGAGGTCTCCTGAAGCCCTGCGCTTCGACCGAGACCTGAAGGAAGGAGAGATGCTAGGCGTGGTCACGGTTGAGTCCACGCATGTTCATGGAATATCCCATAGTCCTACAGCAATATGGAACACATTATATATATATGGATAAAGTATATTAATGTATGGATAATATGTGGATAATACATGGTTATTGTGGTATTTTGTGATATAGTTACAACTTATGTTATGTTTGATGTATGTTTGCCTACTTGTTCACGTTCATAATTTGTGAATTTCAACTCAGCCAGGTCCATCAAAAATATAACCTAAGGTTGGTTAGTAAAAAATAATGATTATGTAGTGGATATGAATGGATAAATGGGTATATCATTATTATATCTATACTTGTCTACAGTTGATGGAGTTCATCAACTCCACTTAATAGGATTTGATGGCTTAGTAATGATGATAGCTACCAACCCTCATGGATTAGTGAACAATGATGGTCCCGGCAAGGTGGTATTACCCCATAAAACCGAAGAGTTTGACCTGCATGAGCAAAGCCAACTTAGCAAAACAAATCCAAATCGACTAAATTGACTCAAGCATCACTGTTTTATCACTGCTTGTGTTATTTGAATCTCCATGATGAGTGTGAAATTTGAGAAGCAGTGATGATTGAGTCAATTTAGTAGTGTGAATCTCCATCACTAAGCAGATACCACTGCTTCTTTCAAATCACTGCTATTGTAGTGTGAATCTATCAATATACCCAAATGTTAGTATACATAACATACATGTATTGTATGGGTTATTTAAATATTTGAGATGTAGTCTAGTGTGAATCTCCATCCTTTCTGTTGTGAAAACCGATCCTCACCGCCATCCGCAGCCTGCGCACCAATGCTGAGCCTCTTCGGGCCGGACCTGTCGGTGCGGCTGCCAGGAAAGAGGGACCAATGGTGACAGCGCCGGGGCTAACCCCAAAAAAAAGCTGGGGAAATGCTGGTTTAACTATGAAAAATGGTGAGAAATGATAGGGACTTCACCAATGAATTATGGTTTTTGGGTGTGTCTGAAAATTGTGTATGCGTCCACATGGTCATTCTAAGAAGGAAAATGATGCCATACTGATGCCATCTACCTGGAACGATGATCCCGGTTGACTCGTAATTTTCAGAGGGAGCACCGCAAGTTATACGCACTTTAATGAGACAAATGATGATCAACCATCATTTTTGGGGGAATTACCTATCATCAGACTAGATAGAACATGGTGGTTTTAGAGCTAATGATTCCAATATTGATTAATTAGTCAGGGCTTATTCAAGCAAATAAACGATGATTGCAGGAAGTTTAGAAGGAACACTTCCGACAATATGGACAGATGGAAAAAGCCGAGGTGAGAAGATGCAGGCGCGCGAAAAGGTAGAAAAGTCGCGATTCATGGTGTTTTTCCAATGGTTTGTGGTCCCGGAGGGTCGAAAAGTAGGCTCGCTAAAGCGGCGGGTGCGGAGCCATGTGGCCAGATGAGAGATGAAGAATTGCACGCTGTTGTGGCGAGAAGCACATTTCGAAGTCAAAATATACAAAGCACGTCAGCTTCGGAGCGCTTTTTGGAATTGAGATGTCGAAAAAGTGCAGGTGGTTGTGGCGCGAAGCACGCTTCCAAGTGAAAATGTATAAAAGATGTCAAAAAAGTGCACGCTGTTGTGGCGCGAAGCACATTTCCACGTCAAAATGTAAACACCTCAGCGTCGGACCACTTTTGGACGTTGACATGTCGAAAAAGTGCACGCTGTTGTGGCGCGAAGCACATTTCCACGTCAAAATGTTAAACGTACCACATGTTCGGACCACTTTTGGACGTTCAGATGTCGTTTCGCGTGGCAGGCGCAAGGGATAGTGCACTTTATCAAAAGTGAGCAAAGCGGGAGGGTTTTGTAGCAGTTTCAAAAGCGTCGGCAGGCGTGGAACATGTGAAGAGGATCTGGAAAGATGTATTTCGGGTGGCAGGCGCAGTACAAGAAACTTGTTCATCAGAGATGTTAGCAGGTCAGAGCGCTGATTTCCCGAGAGGGGTTGCATTTTGGAGCATCAGATTTTCAGTTTTGGGAAGATGATTTTGCGTGACAGGGGTAGCACGTCGTATGACTTGGCATCACTTTTTCGTGGCAGGCGCAATACTTGAGACACATGGACTGGAAAAGTCGCAAAAACACAATGGTGCGAGGCTGTCAGCTCTGCACTAAACTTTCGATTTTTGAAGGACGTCTCGCAGAATTGCTTCGTTTTTGATGTTGTCAACTTCAAAACATGAGGAAGTCTCGCAGACTTGCTTCGTTTTTGCTCTTGCCAACATTGAAAATTGAGGAAGTCTTGCAGAATAGCTTCGTTTTCAAACTTGCAGATAGATAGATAGCTAGCTAGATAGCTAGCTAGCTAGATGGATAAATAGATGGATAGAGATGGATAGAGATGGATAGAGATGGATAGGGATGGATAGAGATGGATAGAGATGGATAGAGATGGATAGAGATGGATAGAGATGGATAGAGATGGGTAGAGAGATATAGAGAGATATAGAGAGATATAGAGAGATATAGAGAGATATAGAGATATAGAGAGATATAGAGAGATATAGAGAGATATAGAGAGATATAGAGAGATAGAGGAAGTTATATAGATAGATAAGATAAGATAAGATAAGATAAGTTTAGATAGATAGATAGATAGATCGATAGATAGATAGACAGATAGACAGTTAGATAGGCAGGTAGATAGATAGATACAAAACTACAGCTGCAACTGCAACCACACTACGCTACCACTACAACTACAAATGCACATATACTACGCTACAGTACACTAATTACACTACACTACACTGCACTAATTACACTACAACTACAACTACAATTACACTACACTAATTAGACCACAACTCTAACTGCAACTACAACTACAATGACTACTACAGCTACAACTACAACTACACTACATTACACTACACTAATTAAATTACACTGCGCTACACTTCACTACACTAGACTACAACCACAACTACAGCTACAACTGCAGCTACGCTACATTACACAACACTACGTTACACTACACTACACTAATTACATTACACTGAGCTACTACATGTCACAACGCTACGCTACATTAACATACACTAACTATCTACAACTACAACTACAACTACAACTACACTACATTACACTAGAACTACACTAATGACACTACACAACGCTACACTACACTAGACTACAACTGCAGCTACAGCTGCAACTACACTACTTTACACTACACTACTTTACACAGACTACACTACACTAGACGGCACTACAGCACACAACACCACAGCACACTACGCTACACTAAATTGCGTTACACTACACTCATCTCACCACACCACAACTACAACTGCAACTACACTACACGAATTACAAAACACTACAACTACAATTTCACTACACTACAACTACAACTACAGCTACACTACACCACGCTAAATCAAGCAGTTGTGGGCCAGGTGACCATTGCAACCATTGCAGCCACTCCAAGAAACACAGCTCCAACCACCTTTCGGTCATCAGTGGATTGGCTCGGCCATGCATCACAACAACTCACCTCTCCTATAGCGTCCTATCTTTGAAACTTTTGCCATCGCCTTGTGCGGTACTACTGGTATTCGATCTGCTTCGGAATAACTATACTTGTAAGACAATGCCAAATAGAGTGCGGCACTGTCCTTTAAGAGACAGCTGGGATTAAACATCGATCTATTGTTTCTTTTGCCTTTTTTTAGCAGACCAAAAATCAGCCAAATGTAGGTAAATAGGCACCCAAACACCTCATTTCGCCCAAGATCACTTTTAGGTGCCCATGGCTTTTAAGGATCAAGAATCAGGGTATTTGGATTTAGGTGGTTGCGTTTCAGGGTTTTCCTTGGATTTTTCCATGGTTTTGAGGGTTGCAGGTTTGGCATAAGGTAAAACAGGGTTTTGGAGTGTTGGGGTTGAGGAAGACTTGTGCAATGACGCACAGGTCCCCTAACTGAGTTTTTCAAAGAGGCCGTTTTAAGAGAGCCTCGGGTAAACTGAGATGTTTGGCCATAAATATATGCATTGTACATACATCCGGCATCATATAGCAAACCCGCAGAAGATGGAAAAATAGTTTGCCATTATTTTAGTAGAATCAGTAACAATCTGGTAATCAAATATGGTTTGCTAGACAATCCAGCATCTATAGTACGAAACTAAACCTCCATGGCTAGGCCACCGGGATTTTACAGCCAACCATGTTGATTACCAGAGGGTATGTTTATTTAACATTATAGTATCTATACAGCATATATCGATTACCCTCCTGTAAACTAACAAAGATCTGTGGAAAAACCACCGTTTGTAGATCATTTTCCGAACCGGAAACCATGGGCTTTCCACATTTTTTGTATGTTTACCCCAGGGTACTTTTCTGCATCGGGGCTGTAGATGGTCTCGGATACTTGGGGGTGCATCCCACTTAGTATATATAAATATAAATATAAATGTGCATATAAATATAAATATACATATAAATATATATATATATAAATACATAAATATGTATATATATATATATATATCTATATACAAACTCATACATGGTTTTTAAATATATGGAATATCTGGAAGTATTCGACCGCCTCGAGGTGGCGGATCTAAAGACCATGGCTGCGGAGGTGGAACGGATTTTTTTCACCAACAACGGTGGATTTAACGAATGACGATTAACGTTTAAAAAATGATATTTAACATGATTTAATGGGAGGTCCTTGGAGATTTATGATCAACTATGTTTGGGAAAATATCTTACAATGTATCTTTGGGGAATATTTGAGAATAATCCTAGTTTTCCCCCGGACATGAACCCAGAAATGATGTTTGAATGCTCCTAGAAGGTTGCGGATTTGACTTGTTTTGTTGGATGTAGCTACAGTACCATTGTCTCGGGAAAGGCTAAACATATGGCTTTGGATTTGAAATTATGGGAGCAAATGTACCCGCATAATTCGCCCTTTTTAGCGTCTGAAACAACTTTGGAGGACAATTCATGAAGATGGCTCTTCTAGATTTGCTTCCTGGATGTTTAGCCTTATTCTGTGGTTCAAAACCGACATAGGCATGGCTGAACCTGGCGGTCAGATACTAATTCCACCCGCAGGTAATAAACACATGTGGCCTAAGTATAATAAGGTACCCGTATCCTTAAGTTCAGGCGCCGACGTTCGCCCAAACTTTTCAGTGTCCCAACTTACACCTGGTCCCAAGTTAATTCACATGTTCAAGTATTACATTGATTGAAGATCTTCAAAAAGGGATCAAATCCCCCACCCCTGTCAAATTATTACACTGATTGAAGATCTTCAATGAAGGATCAAATCCCCCACCCCCGGTAAACTATGACACGGATTGAAGATCTTCAATAAAGGATCAAATCCCCCACCCTCGGTAAACTGTTACACCGATTGAAGATCTTCAAAAGGGCAAAACAATTTTTTTTTGGAAAACGAGTTTTCAAAGACCTTACAGCACTCTCAAATCGCAAAGCCTTTTCCGGTCGTGCTCAATACCATGTCAAGTCATGTTGAGACAGTCATTTGTACGGGAATGCCACGCTTTTGGCCCTTCGTCAAGACGTGATACATTGCATTCCGGGCAAACGGAGGCTCCTGGCCGTATCCTTACATTCTATCACCAGCGATATGATCCTTCTCTAAACTGGGAATACATTATTGAAATTTATAAATTTGGATATGTAAATTCATTGTAAATATCCTTTTGGATTTGGTGATGTTCCTATAAATGGTGGTTTCCATAAATAGGGCATCCCCAAAATGGTTGGTTTATAATGGAAAATCCCAATCTAAAATGGATGATCCATTTCAGGAAACCTCCAAATGGTGATATTCCTATAGATATTCTTATAATCTTATACATCTTCGGCAGCCAGGCCCGAGCCAGTGCTGGAGAGCTCAGAAATCGAGTCAGGGTCAGTCTGAACGTGGACTAAGGCTGGACAAAAAAAACATCGAAATCGTATTTAAGATAAATGATAAAGCCATAGGAATTAATGATACACCAATAGTATCCATTTTTCCCCCTACAAAAACTAATGGATTTAAGCTGATTTAAGCCACATAGATCATGGTAAATAGTGGATTTCAGCAACAATAATATAATAAAGATGGTTTTCCATGGTGGATTTGGCCAACAAACATGGCTGCAGAGCTGATACGTTACATGACACTACGTCGTAATATATCACAATAAGTTACACGATATTCACATGTATATAATGTGTATATATATATACATACATAATAATTGTATAATATTATATAATATTTCGTGTATTATTGGTTTACTGTTATTATCATTATCACAATATTATGTTTAATTAAACAAAACTATATATATATATTCCATTATATACCATATATATTTATATAATAGACACAGTCCATAACTATATATATATATATATACGCATGATATTACGTTGCTGATACAACATCTTTACGATCCGTAAACAATCGCTACCCATTGCAGCAATTTTCTCAGACTCAGCTGAGGGCTCTGAAATTGAAGAGCCGCGAGCCACTGCACCAGAAGCAGAGGCAAATCAGTTTGGATTGTGACAGCGCAAACCCAGTCATGTAGGTAAATATACCAGCACCATGGAGCAAATGGTACCCCAACTTGCTGTGAAATGAGGAAGATGATGATTAGTCAATCAGCGATCTTCTTGGGAAAAAAATGGCGACATGATCCTTCCTCGGGATCATGGTTGTCCATCCTGGTGTTGCAGCCTGGGAACGATGTTTTGGAGATCCAAACCTCAGATTTGTGTCGACGGGACTTAACATTTCAGTTTTAAGTTTGAACGCCAGCTCAATCCCAAGATGCTCCATGTATGGAATATTTACCTACATGACTGAGCCATGTTTGGGGTAAATGCAGGTCAATATTCCATACATGGAGCATCTGGGATGGTGGGTGTTTCAGTTGTGTCTGAAAGTCAAAGCACCTCTGAAGCATTCAGAGCGTATGGCAGATCAGCTTCTCAGCTTCCATATGAGTATGGTTCAAGACCTGTTAAATTGAACTGCATACATCCTGATGTTTATGTTTGTCCGATAAGTTGACTATTCCTCCATGTTGTCGTTGGTTCTACAAGCAATTCCTCCATGTTTTTAGTTGCTTCTACAAGCAATTCCTCCATGCTTTCTTTGGTTCTACAAGCAATTCTAGTTTCAAAACGTTTCTAAAACGTACAAAGCAGTTTCAAGAACTGAGAGGTGTTGATTTCATGGTCTGTCGAAACATTGGGTGTGCCCAGAATCCACTATAAAGCTTAATTTTCCCCATCACAAAAAGTCGATAAAGTGGGAGAATGCCGCATTTTCAGATGCACCCAACGAACACATTCTATCGTGATTAACGGAGCCATTCTATCATGATTAAACTCAGCTCATTCTATCACCACCAAATGGTTGATTTAGAATTGAGATTTATGTGATCATTCGATACCCTCCTGTAAACTACCGATGTGGAAAACCCACCATAAGTTACCATAGATCTTTCAGCGGAAACCATGGGTCATCCTCCAGCCCCGCTAGGCCCTTCCGAAGTCGAGTCCTGGCAAAGGTAGGGTCTCGCTGGGAGAAAGCCCTAGAACTCGACCGTTTGACCCTCTCTGAGCCTAAACAAATTGTGTTTTACCCATTTTTGTTTCGAAGTTTTACCATTTTTAGGGGGGATAGTTGGAGGGTCTAGGTAGTGGTATAATGTGGTGCTTCATTGGCACAGATACACATGGTCATTTATGCAATGAAGGGATTTTTACCCAATCGTCATGACCAATTCTTTCTTGCCATGACCCTGAGGTAGATTCATTTCCCCTCAACCCAGATTTCAGATGTTCTCTGAAACACATTTTGCTGTTCTCCATAATGCTATACATGTTTTTTTTGCTCGGTTAAGGTTAAGCATAATGTTTCTATATGGCTTAAATCCCATCGATTTGTTGTAAATATAGCTCTTCTTAAAAATGTAAAGAAACATTTTAATTTTGAAGATGATCTGAGATAGATATGACATTTTTTCAGAAATAATCATATCATTTTGATCATCATTTGATCAACATATCCTACACCCTACATTTTCCATATGATCTGACAGGAGATGATTGCGACCCTCCTCTGCAGGCTATAGCCGAAGCCCTGCGATGAGCGAATACCGCACTGGGACAAAGGTGGGCAAAAACCACAGTCATTACCCAGATGCTCCATGTATGGAATAGTTGCCATGTTTGGGGTAAATGTAGGTAAATATTCCATACATGGAGCATCTGGGTTAAAATATCTGGATGTATCATGATGTATCCCAGAAATCGTAAGTGGAAAATCACCCATCTCGCTATATTGCTATATCATGACGAATTAATCAGTTCGTAACCACCACTATATTTTCTTTCATTACGCCATCATAGGTAAAACAAAAAATCATGGAAACTCATGATAGTTTCTTCCCAGAAATCTCCCCAGAATTTTGCATGATATCCACGTATCGGCTAAGTTGTTTGACCCATACATGGCTGTAGGGCGTATTGAAGCCAAAAATCCGGAGCCTAGTTTTAGTATGGTACATCCAAAAGTAGACCATCCCACATTTTGGAAGACATTTTTAGAACATCCCTTATTTTTGAAGTTTACCATGGTATAGATATGTTAAACAGACTTGAGGTCCTTTTAGTTCAAGGTGCCAGGTGGCCCCCCAAAACAATATATATATATATATACAATATATATATACACACGAATTGGTTTGTAGCTAACACTTGACTTGGATTTACTGTATACTGTAGTAGATAGATTTTGTAGGCAATAGGGATTACAAGCCAATGTTAACATCACTGAGGGATACCACGTTGTACCAATTGTGTTGAACCATATGGCATTAGTTTGACAAAGAAGCTCTAAGTTGAATCAGGACCTCGATCGGCAATTTCCGGTACTGAATCGGAATGCCTGGGGAAGTTAATAAGTTCGAGGTTCAGTACATGTAATGCATGGCATATGGCATAGTCAGCTACATGTATAATTTGTACTCACTTCAATAGAATCACCTATATTTGCTGGCAAGTAAATGTGTCATAACACCACAGTAGACAACAGCAATTCGAAATCATAACCATGAGATTAGTTTGCAGCATGATTTCTTGTTTCCCGCTCGATGAAACTTCCCTATGGATTTCTCCGAAAATAAGCTAGCTCAAAATCCACTGCTTTTTTTCAGTAGAAATAGTTGATATACCCATCACATATGGCCATAACTATGGAAAATCACCATTTCTAATGGCTAAATCAATCACACATAGTTTTTTTTTCATTTTCCCATCGTTGTACAAGGACTATTTTGGGGTATCCCCCATTCTTCAGACACCAGAAAAACTGAGCCACCCACCAGAAAAAGGACTCAGTCGGAAATCCCCGTGTTCTGGAATGAACTCAAAATACTGAACTCATTTGGACTATGTGTATATGTATATATTATAATATGTGTATATGATGATATACACATATATATATATGCAATTATGACATATTGATACATTGTTAAATATGTGATATATTTATCTTCCACGCATGGTGAGAGTTTCCGAAGTTCAGAACTCCCCAAACGAAATCCGACGAGATGATCCCGCGAGGCCATGAAAGCGCGGAGCAATAGCAGGGCTGGCGCATGGAAATGAAGCTCTTGAATTCCCCTGGCGCGTCGCCCAATGTGGCCATGGCGGCCATGGCTGTGCGGATTCCGTGTGTTTCACACCCGTTGCATCACCGTTGAGAGCACAATTTGGACTGGACATGAAAAAAGTCAGGAAATTTGTCTCAGACACAAGGGTTAATATGGGGGTATTCAATCATCTATTCCAGGATGATGATAGATTTTTATTGTTTTGCAATATTTAGTTGCTTTCGGCAAGCCGTCGGCCATAGAGAGGTGGCCCCAAGGGAGTTTGATTTGCACTCTAGGTGGAAGCCCGCGAGAGAAGCAGAAGAGAAAAGAAGGAGAAGAAGAAGAATAATAAGAATAATAAGAAAGGAAGACGAAGACAAAGCCGTAAAACGGAAGCGGCTTGTGTAGCAAGTGCTGGTACAACCTATTGAATGATCGTATACCAAATTAGTACCGTCCCCAGCAAAGTAGCGCCAGGTACTCGCTGCATGGAAAGGAGACAGGGTGGAAGCGGAGAGAGATTGCCCCAAGGGAAGTTGATGAGCACGCTAGGTGGAAGCCTGAGAGAGAAGCAGAAGAGAAGAGAATAAGAAGAGGAAGAAGAGGAAGAAGAGGAAAAGGAAGAAGAAGAGACGAAGACAGAGCCGTAGATCAGAAACAGCTTGAGTAGCAAGTGCCCGCTTGAACAACCTATGGCCCGCATACCAAATGAGTACTGGTCAAGTTTAGTACTGACGAGTACATGTAGACGACTGTAATGCTGTAGGCAGTGTCATCAGCCACCGGCACTACCAGTTTAGTACTTGGGGAAGAAGGGAGGAAGGAGTAGAGGAGTAGAAGTAGGAGTAAGAGTAGGAGTAGCCCTAGTAGCAGCAGCAGCAGCAGTAGTAGTAGTAGCAAGCAGCAGCAGCAGTAGTCGTAGTAGTAGCAGGAGGAGTAGTAGTAGTAGTAGTGGTAGTAGTAGTAGTAGGTAGTAGTAGGTAGTAGTAGGTAGTAGTAGGTAGTAGTAGTAAGTAGTAGTAAGTAGTAGTAAGTAGTAGTAAGTAGCAGTAGTAGGGGGGGAGGGGGGGAGGGGGGGAGGGGGGAGGGTGGAGGGTGGAGGGGGGGTGGACGGGGGTGGACGGGGTGGACTTGATTCAGACGAAGCAAAAACGCGCAGCAAGGGAACAAGGGAAGGAGGAGAAACCAAGCACGGAAACAAGAACAACACCTTCCAATCAGACACGCCGGCAGGCCGGCGGATCTTGCATCTGAAACTAGAATTCTAAGTGCTTCGCAGTATTCAGAATCTTCAGAATCAGTATTTCTCAGTTTTTTCTTTGGAAATCAGTGAAGACCGGAACTGAACCAACTTCGAAAGCGACTTGGGTTGAGGTCATCCGTAAGAAACCATGAAAAACCGGGGCATTTTTCCCAAACCGCCACTGCAAAAAGACTCAAGTCAGTTGCTGCGGCATTTTCTTATTTTTTTTTAAAATAAATAAATATATATATATATATTGATATCTTGTGACTTCTGGGGTTACGATGTGCCACATACTTGGAAAGTGGGACTGGTTAACAAATTTATCTGTGGATTCCAGATCGTTTGCTGTGGATTGTGAACAGTTTCTCCATTGCTTCTACTGTCATCCATCCAATCTAGCAGCTGAGCTACCACCATCTTCAGCCATTGGCTCTTCCTTGTTGTCAGGAACTAAACTTGTTGATGATTTGCAGTCCAGAAATGAACAGATTTCATTGTGGTTCAGATAGTCCTGCACTCTTGAACGATCTCCAAGTATGCGCATTCCAAGTAAGTGTGCACAATGCATATGCAGATGTATAGTATACGGTATACACTACACACATTATGTATACATTCTATGATTGTTTGAAACCATTGGGTATACACGCTAGTATGCCCACCATGGAAGGCAATCCGGTGAAGACATGCAGACACCACAGTTTCTGGGCGCTGCATGTCTTCACATCATGCCAGAAGTTACCCCACAAACTCGAGAAAAAAACAATGGTACTTTACCACATGTCATAAGATTATTGTACTAGCTGCATTCACCAACCACTATCAACAACTATCAACTGCTAGTGGAACCACTAGCAACCACTCAATTTCCGCCAGAGACATCCTGGATGGACGAAGTAGAGGCGGGACGTTCAGTGGTGACTAAGTTGGCTCTAAGTTCACCATGAAAAACGTAGATCAATATATATAGATCATATATATATATATATATACAGGGTTATGTACATGGATATGGTATATATATATATGGCTATATAGTGGATATTTTATACTTCACTGTTGGGTACATGGGATATACCACATTCGTTGGAATGGGAATAACAGAATCCAACTGAATCCAACGTTAAACATTGCTGGGGGGCACCGCGATTGGTAGTTAGATGCTAGAGACGTTCCCTAGTGCACGAAAACAATCTGAAGAAACGGGGCCATGTTATACTGTCAGACTAAAGACGACTAGATTTAGGCAACAAGGTCGGACATAGCAACAAGGGTACTCTATACCCTCTGGAAATTAACATAGCTCTTGAAAATTGCACATTTACAGTGAATTTACCTATTAAAGATGGTGATTTTCAATAGCAAACTGTTAGTTTACTGGAGGGTATGTGGTTTGCATGATACTTAAGGCTCTTAGCTCCATCAGGAACCACGTCTACCAAACGTGATTCCTGGTGATCCTTCCAAAGTTTAAAGATGTCTATCGTTAGGGCCGTTAGGGATCATGCCGATGTTTTCAACACATCCCAGTCCTAATATGTCATAACTTCATAACCATCTGGTTATTTAACATAGCCATGGAAAATCACCATTTTTAATAGGTAAACCATCTATAAATGGGCCATTTTCCATGGCTATGTTGAATAACCAGAGGGTAACCATCTAGAATCTCGGACCCGTTCTCTTCAAATTGCTGTGTCTGATTTTTGCCCGATACCAAAAGATACCAAAAGATGCGGATGTTTTCGAGAACATATGGAACTTTCATTATCAACCATGGGATTTTTGTTGTCCCACTTTCAAACACACCCAATGATTTCCTCCATATTGGAGTGAGTCAAAACCAAAAAACGGTTCCATATATATATATATCATTACATACCGATATATATATATATATATTATGTAAAACAAAAAACATCCATAACTACCAGCTTTACCACATTTTACCACCATAATGTGAACAGGACACCACCGTTTTTATTTTGTCAGCTCATTTCGCCAGGTGCGAACTGTGAGGCCTGGCGATGGTCGGAAGGCTCAGGTTTTCGTGGGAAAATCATCGAAGATCATCGAAGTAAATGGGCGAATTTTGGTGCCATGATGAGTTTCATGCCATTTCTGGGATCGCCAATTTGCTGTAGTTTCTTTGGCTTCTGGTATGTCAGGAGTTCAATTTCTAATTATTGGAAATGCAAGCAAAGCTAGTGTTTGAATTTCTTTAAGTCTGAAAATTCGGAGTTTTGTTATTTGTTGATTGCATCTTTTGGATTCTTTTGGTGACTTGTATATAATTATATATAATTTATCTGCGACATTGTGCGACTGGTAAGTCATGTTTCTGTGTCCATTTACTAGTCATGCTCGGGGTTCTGGCGGATCATGGTCCAATGGTGCTTAGAACAGACGTGGCTCTTCAACATGTGTCGCTTTTGGAACGCGCGTATTATTTTTGCTATCAGTTTCCCATGACGGATCCATGGTGCTGCTATATATGGTAACATGGATCCCATCAATATACCCCCAATGTTAGCATATATACCATACATACATGAATGGATCCTATGGGTTTCGTTTTTTGCTATTTGAATTGCTGTATTTTTGTTACTTCGACCCGTCGACCATAGATGCCACGTGATGTGATCCAAAATAACGGCACGGCTCGGGGGCCTTGGGGCAACTCTTTGGGCCTTGTTTTTTTGCTTTGTTGAGACGTGGGAAGATCCTTTGAAACAAATTGTAACCTTAGTTATTTTAGCATAGTAATGTTGTCTGACCAATAGTGATATCTTGTCAATAGTAGAAACATGTTTCCGCAACTCCAATTTTTCTCCAATACTAAAAGTCAATTAGCTCTATTTACTTTTAGTATTGCCAAAAGAGTCATGTTCAGACCTTGTCCAGAGGGCATGGCCAATAGTGGACCCAACATGGCAATAGTGGAAACTTTTTTCCCAACTCCATTTTTTTCTCCAATACTAAAAGTCAATTAGCTCCATTTACTTTTAGTATTGCCAAAAGAGTCAAGTAAAGCAAATCCTTTTCAAAGCAGCCTTCACTTTTGATTAGCAAAAGCTTAGATTCCAGAATCTGATCCAATTACCAAACAGCTGATTTCCTTATAAAACCCTTATTCAAAAAAGCAAGAAAACAGGTCCACAAAGGGTACCCCCTTTGCAAGCCCCAGATTAGCAATAACAAACCTGCACCAGGCATGGCAATAGTGGACACTTTTTTCCGCAACTCCAATTTTGTTGTCCTCCTTCTCCTTCTCCTTCTTCTCCTTCTTCTCCTCCTCCTCGTCCTCCTCCTTCGCCTCCACCACCTCTGCCCCCACTTCCATGTCCACTTCCGCCTTGCCAACTCTTCGCCAATCTCTCAGAAACCCAACCAAATCCATTTAGAATCTATCAGAAACCCAACAAAACCATGGAGAATCTATCAGATACATATCATGATCCCAGCTATAGATTCCCAAAAATTATTTTAGAAAGGTTGACCCCCCTAAAAAAAATAAAAAAAATAGGGGGGTAATTACTATTAGGCAGCCAACATTACAACTAGTATCAACTATTTATATCTATTTATATACGTATATTATATATATATAACTGATTTGCGGTAAGGTCTTACGAAATATTTGCAAGTTATTCGCGATGTGAACTTTGAGGGACCGAATCCTCACCACCTGCGCTACTGTACTGATCTGCCTGGTTTTTAGGCATTACGTTTCCGAAGCCCGGAGACAAGTTGATGACTCACTACATCTGCATGGGTGCCTGATTCTGGGTGCACACCAGAAATGATGTGAAATGGGGGGTGGACGTTGGCTAACTGGATTGAAATGGCCCAACTGTTTCGGATGGATCGAAATGGGAGGTGAATGGGACGTTTCTTATCGTTTCTTGGTCTCCAAAGACCTGCAAAGTCAAAAAAAACAATGGTCATATCTTTCTAGTGTTGGCTGCTGGCCATTCCACCCGCAAGGACCCTGTCCAGTCATTCTGGTCATAGCCTCATTTCGTTGGTTTTGTTTAACTCTTCACTCACTTAATGAGCGTTGCAAAATGTTTGTACCAAGCAAAGTTTGCCCTGCTCCGGTCAATACACCTGGCAGCCCAAAGTTCAATTTCCATAATCAATAAATTGCTTTGGGGAAAATCAGAAGAAACTCTTGTTTTTACCATCAAAGTTGTGGTTTCCCGCATTTTTGTCCCTTGAAGCATTGCTGGAACATCACCAGATTGTTCAGAAAACCAGCTCCGGCTTTGGATCGACCCCGTCTCAGGTCGCATTCGATCCACTGGACAACAAATTGATTCCTCCTACCAGCGGAGACTTCCCTTCAGGCTGGGTCTGCAAAAAATCGCCGTGTCACAAGTCAAAGCGTAGATATCTTAAACCCATCTAGCAGATACCGATATCTTTAAGTGTGACAGTGATTAGTTAGACTAAGGATATCCATAGCTACAGGTATCTTAGAGTCAATCTGGATGGTGGTTTGGAACATTTTTTATTTTTCCATATATTGGGAACAATCATCCCAACTGACGAACTCATATTTTTCAGAGGGGTAGGTCAATCACCAACCAGCAATTGTCATCAAGGAATACGGTTCCATTATTTCCATGTCGAACTTTAGAGACAGACTTACCAGGGATGGCTTGTAGCGCCATTGACCGATTTGTTGGAGGTACCATTTTTATGAGGCCTATGGAACTCCGATACGGGCTACAAAATATGGCCTTATATGGTGCAGCACCTTCAGTTTAGGTACCTGAAATAACCATTGACATCCATTGACAGGGTTACAAGCTGAGTTGCAGTGATCAAGAGAGTCCAATGAAACACCTGGAGGAAGAAACCAGGAATTCGTCCCAAATTTCCAGCTGGTTGGTTGAAGAGCTAACTAATAGTAATTAATCGGGATTCAACTAACCCCCCAGAGGTAATGTTCAATGGAAACAACCCTTTATGAGACAGGTGCATTAAGGGTTTATAATCCCATTACTGTCACAGCCAACAACCACCAATAATGGCAGAGTTTACCATCTATTCTTAGGCGATGGTATCCAAATCAGCACGGGCAGTGGCGAATTAGGCGATTCATGTTGTTTGATCCGATTCTTTCGGGTGAAATAGCTGGTACAATTTGGACGTGTGTTTCTTGCCAATATTTGGTACATCATGTACTTTCATGTACTTCGAATACTTCGAACATGTCATACGCCTCATATACCATCATATATATATATAATTTACCTGATATTATTACCTTGTATAATACCTCTAGTTTTTTTGGAACCACATGTTCTTTGTAACTATGCTTTCCGAGGTTCCGAGGCAACTTAAAAGCTCCGTTCCTTGATGTCCCAAATCCCATGGTGATCAAATTGATTATTTATCACTCAAGACTCAAGACTGCTAATTTGGCATACTGGAATTACTGGATACCTTCGTTTTCAGATGTTTTCAGCTGAAGTCTCATATCAAGTTGGTGAGATATCCCTGGTCTGGAAATACGGTACTCAAAAATCCGAAGTGTGACAATTGGGGGTCAATCCCACATTTTCAGACAGGACCAACAAACATTTTCAGACAGGACCAACAAACATATTGGTTATATATGCTTATATTCTAAGTCTAATTCCTATTCTTTTCCCATCATGCTTTGGTTTTTACATATTTTCCCATACCTTTAGTCAGTTATTTGAATCTCTACCGTGACTGATAGCAAGCAGCCCCCAAGAGATGCCGGAAATAATCTATCCCCGTCTATGGAAATTTTACCATGTTTGTTGGTTATATAAAGTTTTTTTCAACCAAATTAATCCATCAAACATGTTGATTTTTGTTGAATTATGTTGGTTATATATATATATATATATAATGTTTTTACAACATCCATATCAATCCACATGGGATGGGTCAAAACATTAGGGCTTTATTCGCATCCATAAACCCCTATGACTTTGGGTACCATCCGGGTACCAGGCTTTTGAGCCATGACCATAACCTAGGTTAATATGTAGTAGCAAAAAAGATCGTAACACTAATTTATCACATATATATATATGTCTATCATCATATATCGAAATCTGGATTTCTGGTTACCAATAGAAGTTCTATCATGAACCCTATTACCTATCAGCACTATATAGATATATTACTACATAAATATATATATTACCTTTTTCTACATCCCATATTACATATATAAAACATATATTACCTACCAGCTTCTTCAAAGTGCATCGTTGTTCATTTTGATACATGGGTAAATTGCATATATATATATACTGGTTGGTGGTTTGGAACATTTTTTATGTTCCATAATATATGGGATAATCCTTCCCATTGACTTTCATATTTTTCAAGATGGTTAAAACCACCAACCAGTAATGATATATATATAATATTACCTGTATATAAACCATATATTTTATTACCATATATTACATATTATATATATACATATATACATATCATACACAATATATATATATATAACCCTTAGGGACGGCCGCGTCAGGTTCCAACTGGGGGTGCAGCAGGTGATCAAGGGCTGGGACCTTGGCATCTGCAGGTGCCGTTGCCAAACGTCGGAGACATCGTTTTGGTTTTGGGGTGGTTTTGGGTTGGTGAAAACCAAGGGATGTAGCTATGAAAACCAAGGGATGGAGATCGATTTTTTGAATTTTCGAGGGATAAACAGCCATGAAATCGGGGTGAGCGTGAAATGATGGTCTTGAAGCATGAAATATGGTCTAATGAAGTCTAATGGAATCATTTTATCATTAAACATGTATTTATATATATATACATATATATATAATAAATAGATTATGGTTGATGGGTCGTTCTTGGGTGATACTACCCCTGATATGTTGGGGATTGTCATGATCCATGAATGAACTGAGCCAGGATAAATGGAATGATGATTTTGAACATTGCGGCAACTTGCCCAGTTGAGGGGTGACAAACAATCAATTTTTGTAGAAAATTCATATACTGTAGCCCATGTTATGCCATGTTTGGATACCCATCATGGGATGGGTGACTATACAAATATGTCCAAATAATTTTGATATACATTGCAAATACCAAATATTACATGATATTATATACATACAGTATAACCAAATAATATACCACACATGCATTATAAATGTACCGTGTTTTGACCACAGCACTAATATGATGGGTGCTTTTCAACGATCCATGAAAATAGTGGTTTTTAAAGCATCAACAATGGATTGATGTAATGACAAATACGAGTAAATAGTGACCTCGCGACAACGTCACTATATCATGCATACTAGGATAGTAGGTAAAAGTACGAATAAGTCTCGAAAAACTGGTCCATTCCTGACTTCGGCGCATTCTTTCTAAATAATTTGCCCTGATGGGTGGATAAATTATTTGTGCTTCTAGGATTGGATTTGTCAAAGATTGGGTCAGTACTATGAGGCGAATGGAGTGCTAATTGTTTTTTTTGGGCGACCCATTGCGATAGAAAATTCATGGGAATCCTCATGAAAACCGGGGCAGCGTTTAATCACAAAGCCACAGTCCAATTTGGGTGACCAGGAAAGTGCAGGAAAGTATGCTATGATCTACTTGTGCAGATTCAAATGTTTTACATACTGTCATTGTGTTGTGTCAACCATTATGTTTTGATTTGTTTTGGCATATTCTATCTCCTTTATTCCCCTAGATGGTTTTCCTATTGCAACCTACCTTCTGGCAGTTTTAACACCTAGCTATGGATAATCAGCATGTTTGTTTTGGATTTATCATGGTTTATCATCGAAGTAAATAGGCAATGTTCATCCATGTTCCATACTCAGTGGCTCTTCCTAGTTGGAAAGTGCAACCCATTTTACGATGGGATGAACCACCCAGTATTTAGGCTCTCCCTTGTTCCAGTTCTCAGGCTTCAGATGTTGATCTATTTCGTGACAGTTTGTGATAGTTTGTGTGTGTGTGTTTTTCATTGTTTTTCATATTCACCAATATTCACCATATAGATATATAATGATATATTCACCATATAGATATAAAAAAAACATATTCACCAATATATCATGCAGTTTTAAAAAACTTATACCTAGCATTCTTTTTTGTTCATGACGAATCCACTAGGGTCAGATATAGTGCAATATTCTTGCACTAGCTATGGACTAGTAGGGATATTACACAGGTAACTATAACATATTAAATTACTATATGGCTGAGGGTAGATATCGTGAACTGTCTACTGTTACTCCTGTGTAATGATGGGACCTTCATTCACTTCATTCACAGAAAATCTTCCCACACAACAATGGGGTTTCTGTAGATTCACCCATCTTGACCAATATTCAATATTCTTCATATACCAACATGCTTACCATATATTTAACATTAATTAATATTATGCATATACTCACCAATATGCTTACCATATATTTAACATGAATTATGCTTACCATATGTACCTAGACACATCCATATAGCACGCTCTCTCAGATGACCGGATGTCGACAAACGCAGGATGAGTTTGGGAGAGAAGGCGATTCTCACCATTCCAGCCAACCTGGCGTATGGTCAAACAGGCGAAGATTCAGCAATTCGTGAGCCAACAAACGAAGCTCTTGTTAATGGCCTATAGGGACTTTACCATTATCTATATGGGTTGTAAGTGCATATAGCTGATAAATGATGGTTGGTTGTTCTTGTTTATAAGGGGCTGCTAACCTACAGGGTTTATTTGGGAGTACTATGAATTATGGTAATGATGAATAGGAATACCTACTAACCAGCCAGTACAATGGGATTGGATGGGGGTCGTTTTGCGATGGCGAAATCGCCTGCCAAATCATTATTTAAAGGGGTACCTGTCATATTTCCACGGGTTGATTGAGAAGAGTCGTCAGAGCTTGATGAATCCGACTCCGACTCATCAGTGACTTCAGGCCTTGAAATGTCCAGTAACATGCCATCAGTAGACCCATGACTGGTTGGTGCTTTGGAACATGTGGCTTTTATGACTTTCCATTAATATTGGGAATGTCATCATCCCAACTGACTTTCACTTTTCATTTTTCAGAGGGGTAGGGTTGAAACCACCAACCAGAAAAACGCATTGATGTCGGAAGCTCACCACGAAAAACCGTTGAAGAAAAAAAGGATCCAGGGCACAACAAGAACTGTGCGCAGGCGCAGCAACAATACAGATAAAATAAGGAAATCTAAGAATAATTGAAACATGGAACATATATACATGGAATATTAATGTTCATGTAGTTTGGGAACTACATGGAACATGAACCATGGAACACACGTCCATGAAGATTTGTTGAGACGCTCCGACACGGGGGATCGTCTCAGAGGGTGCTGAAATATCTCTATGCGGAAAAAAATCCACTTGGCTTCATGGTTTATCGAAATTAGATAGTGGACCAGGTTTGGCATTTATTGGGCAAATCCACATCCTCTAAAAAAACATGTCCATCCTTGGTGTATCAAAATCATCGGCTTCTTCCCCACAGTTTCTTCATGGTAAAACGGTAAAACGACCATTTTTCGGTGGCAGGTGCCGGCGGCTCGATACCTCCAGACACGGACTTGACCTTCGAGGCAGGACACGTCGTTCTCCCGAAGCCTGGTTTATCATGGTTTATTTTAGGGAAATCATCCCCAAGTGGCCGAACTATTTAGGTTAGTGAAATATTATAATTTACCCAGATACATGTAGAATTATGTCATATACCCAAGCAATATGTAGTATAATATGTATATTCTCTGGTATATGACATTATATTTATATGTAAAAGGTTGCTCGCAAATGTGGAGGGTGTGCATTTTGGATTGCTTAGGGTAAGTAATTTTGAGTTTAGCCATGGAGTGAAAGAAGCCAACAGTCCAAGTTTGGCTTATTTTGACATATTTTGACTTGATAAAATCGAAGCAAAACGCCAAAAATATCCAGACCCTTTCAGCTTCCAGTTCCCTCCCAGCTTGATGGTGGATTTTCCCAGGTGGAACTGCTTAGGATCTCTGCGTTCTGAGTGGTGAGCCGCGACAGTTCTGGATGGGCAGAAAAGTTCTGGATCTTTCGCCATGGTGCTTTTTTTTTTGGATGAGATACCTACAGCAATCATCGAATAATATTGTGAAATGAGGATGCACTTGCGGTTCTTCCCAGAAAGATGGGAATAGATATGCGGATCTATTTACCAAGGATGTCATTATGATATTATGTAGGTTTCCTAAAATAAGGAGATTGGTCTCTTGTTAAAAAAAAACGACCGAAAACTTGGAGCAGGATCAACGATGGATGGTGATTGCACCTTATAAGAAATGAGGATTTTATTCCTGGATAGACTACGGGAATCCTGCGGAAAATTGAACTACCCCAAATCATCAATTGCGAACATGGACATGTCCCGATCCGGCCCATTTGTATTAGAACATGGCAATGAGAAATTGCAATCTTTGGTAGGACAATCAGAAAACATATATATATACATAGATGGCCACAAGAGTACATGAAACCTCCCCTAGTTTCGCTAATTTGACCATTTGATTGCTGTTTGGGATGTTTGCCAGGTTGTGAGTGTTGTAGTCATTCCCAGTTGTAAGACAAACGTGGCTGGAAACTAAAAAGACAGTCGTGTTCATTCCACGAACCGGGGATGAGAACTGATCAAACCAATCAAACCTGGTTGCTGAATGTTGCTGGTTTCAATCATGTTGTTTAACCATGTTTACCCTCTGGTAAACTAACATAACCATGGAAAATCACAATGTTTAATGGGAAGATCCATTATAAATGGTCATTTTCAATAGCTATGTTAAATTACCATAGGGTAACCTGTTCATTTCCGTCCCTGATGAATATGATGATTTCGACTGGCTTGACAAAGAGGGGCTGCAACTCATGCCACCATTTGTATCCATTTCTTTTAGTCGCTCACAGCTCTTCTTTTTTTGTGTCAAGGAAGGGCCATCCGGTGTTGGGAACAAAAGGTTTCACCAATGGTTTCACAAATCTATCATGGAACCCGGTGGGCGAGAGGACTTTTCCAACAGGAACATTCTGGCGATGTATTTTTCCAACAGGAACATTGAGACTTGGCTGGACTACATGGAGAATCTTCCAGTTCGATACACTGTAGTTATATGATGTTAAAAATATGTTTTCCCATGAATTATACACCATTTATAATTAGTGACCATAGTGGATTTCCATGGATCTCCCCCATGTTTTTTCCTATGATTTTGCCATATTTTGTCGAAATAAATGGTGGATTTTCACGGATTCCACGTTGCGAATCTCCGCAGCCATTTGTGCGGCTAGCCGTGGCCACGACCCAACTCCCGAAACGTACGCCCCGAGCCGATCTCTCTTCAGATTCTTCAGGTGAGAACGGTGAGAACGACCAGGCATAATTACCCTCTGGTAATTGAACAGTTTGCTATTGAAAATGATGATTTATGGTGGATTTACCCATAAAATGGTGATTTTACATAGCTATGTTAGTTTACCAGAGGGTAATTGGGGCTAACTGTTCATAGTTAGATGCTCCATGTATGGAATATTTACCTACATGACTGAGCCATGCTTGGGGTAAATGTAGGTAAATATTCCAGCACCATGGAGCATCTGGGATAGTTAGATATCCATACTATACAATACTATGCTGTATACAGTTATTTATCCAACTATACATTAGTATCAGTTATCAGTTGTCCATACTCTTCGCCCGCCCGTTGCCCACTGGTAGACCCTGCATGGTGATCCTCCAAGTAGATGGGCGTGTTTCAACCATTTCACGTGGATGGAACCGCCGCTGGCGAAACGTTGCGTGATGGCGATTATTAAACAGTGGAGATGGAAGCAACATACTTTTATAATAGTAATAGTTAATAACTATAATCATATTATAGCTTGTTGTATATATATATATTATATAATAACCATAATAAATAGCTATAATAACTATAGATGAAATGTTATGGAGATTGGAATTCTTAGAATAATTGGAAGATTTCAGCTATCACAATTGGAATTGATTTTATTTCAGCTATCACAATTGGACAAAAAAGCACTGGAATGACTGTACTAATCAGTTGAAATTGTAGATCACGTCTCCAAAAACGACACGATGACACCTCAAGAAACATTCAAGTTGTTCAACGCAAAAATAATAAAAACAAAACATGGTGAGCAGATCCACGATTCAATGAGGATTTCTTGACATTTCCATATTCTATCTAATGTTAGTAAAGCAATAATCAATCACCAACGCCAATATGTTTATGGTTTATACCATCCATCAAATTGTAAAACTGGGGATAGTGGATCCAATTGCCTTTAACAACTTTGCTCCAGGATGACTATATATTATGTATGTGTATATATATATACATATAATTACATACGTATTGTGGATGGTTGCCTGCACCAGTTGAAAACTATAGGTAGCTATAAACCACCGTATACAATGGGATTATAAATCCTAACGGGAGAAACCATCTACTGTACCAACTGGTGCAGGATTTCTTCCATCCACATTCATTCCAATAATCTACTTAAGGAAATTTAAGGAATATGTCCGATATATCTACCATGACCCATCGGGTTTTTCTACTTATAAACCAACTATAGATGTTATCCATTGGGATGGAACATGGTCGACGAAAATTGACAATAGAACATGGAATTTAAACAAAATAGAACATTGGGACGATAAATAGACCTGACCCAAATAGAACATTTTAAATTTCAGAACGTGGCTAAATAAAACCAAATAAACATTTTAGAACGTGGTTAAATAGAACATCATATAACATTTAAATTGTTTATTTGGTGAAATTTAATCACAGATCATCGCCAAAATTGGGAATTGAATGGATGGTCAGTGGACAGTAAATGGATAGTCCCTTCCCTCTACAATGAAATCACCCATAGTAACGATCCTCCAAAATGATTCCATACCTCCCACCCTTTGTCAAAGGGGTCTAGATTTGATCAGCCGTGATCAGCCTGAAAAATATGCATATATATATATATATATATACATACATGCATACAGACAGACAGACATACATACATGATATACGTAGTTCATGATATAGGTAGTTCCATATAGATTTTGATGCTTATATGTTGATATTATGTTATATATATATATATATTGTATAGACGATTTAGGTTCATATAAACTATACATTATGCCTATAGATGGCATCATCATTGTACCTAGATTAGTCACATATATCTATATATATATAAGACAGTACCATAGATACACTTATATTTTACATAGAATCATGGATACATGTTTTTTTTTTTTTAACACCATAACTTTTTATATAACAATGATATGTTTTTACTAATATCGTCCTACTGAACCAGGTTCATGGCGGCCGTAGAGCCTGGGCTTGTTCTGGAGGAGGCGCGCCGAACGTGCCGAAGTTTCAGAGATAATGCGCCATTTTGATGGTAAAACATGTGGTGAAATAACAGGGAAAACATCATTTTGATGGGTACAAGCGGAGGGTTTAGGCGTTTAGGTTTAGGGGAAACACAAAAAGAAGACATGATTTTTTCCAACAGCGGACGTGGTGATTTAGCCAATCAAACTGGGGGCTTACCGCGTAGAGACTCACCTCTGGAATGGAAAATCAACGCGTTTAATTTAGTAAATCATTGTCAAGTCAAGTGGCAGATTTTCCATTGTTCATCTTTGCCAAATTAGATTACAGATTGGTAAGACTCGCAACAAAGGGGAACACCAAAAACTTAAGATATTTCACAAATCAGTCGCATCAAACCTGCAAACATGTGCAAGGTCACTTCAACATGAGTCTCTAAATTGTTCAACCACCATTTTCTTGTTTTCATCAAAAAACCATGTGGATGCACCAACCATCGATAACCTATCTATTTTGGGTCGATTCCCACCGCGTGTTGGTGTTTGATTCCCGATTCTGTGGCCTGCAACAGCGAAAACAAACAAAGCAGGACCTTTAGTCGTGTGAAATCATTTTTAGTATCATAAGTACTATGGGATATGTCAATGGGAATTCCAGGATCCTAAAATGGAGGTACTGTACCATATAAGACCATATTTTGGGGGATTTGACCGTACCGCCCATAGCCAAATGTTTGTCAACTTATTCAAAGTGGCTATATATCATGATGTATCCTTGGCGGCGTGGATTTTTTTTCGGCCTGTCGATGTTTGTGACTTGGGCCGAAAGGGAATGGGGAAGCCCACAGGCCTGGAAGAGCAAGAAGAGGCAGCTGATTGTCAATAGCTTGGCTGTGAGGATTTGGGTCTTTTTTGGATGCACAGCCCTTAAAATAGCAATGTGTTCATAGAGACATTGATGTTTTCAACCAGTGGATTCTCATGACATGTTTGGACAAACGCCCATTTGCTTGGGGATGATGGATCCAAGAAAAGAAGAGCCAGCTGTTTATTGCTCATGTCACCATCAACCAGCTAGGTCTTGACCCCGCCGTCGTTTATAACTGGGATACTTGGACATGGTTTCTGAGCAGCGCCCGATAATCAACATCCCCAAGCGACTGGATAGGTAATTCAACTGTAGTTTTGTGTATGTTTTTTTGTTTGTTTGCTTTCAATGGAAGAACCACAATCAGCATTTTTGTTCGTGGACTACCAAAGATTGACCATGATAATGATTGCTGATATATTATACAATGACCCAGCTCGTATCAGCTGGTCGCAAATGAATCCATGACCTAAAAAGTGCCGGTGGTAACCGATCGGTCTTGAGGGAATTCCCGTTTTTGTTTTGCTAACTCTTTCATTGCTGAATTCAGTACCCTTTGGTAATCAAACACGGCAACGGAGAATCCACCGTTCATATATGTAGATGACGTTCCAATTTTTCAAGGCTCCATTTCTTAGGGATTTCCCAGCCGCAGCTAGCAATGTTCGATTGCAAGAGAATAGATCCACTAGAATCCCAAGGGTGATTTCCTGCAATTTCAAAGTTTAAATCCCAAATTATACTGTATATGATATCTATTGTGATTCAACTTCGCTATGGAAAATGGACATGTTT